TGCTTTTGTATTGATTGTACGATGACATTTCAGGCTCATAGTGTATTTTGTGGTAGTTAATGTTTGTATTTCTCAAAAAGAACGTCAATTCTAGACACTCAAGGAAAGACATATCCAAGATACATAAGGCATCACCATCTCTCCATTAAGAATTGTCAAGACACAAGTGTATCTGAAGAGTATGGGCATGATGGTTAGTCTTGCATGTGAACTTGCTTGGTTAAAAGGATGCCCAAGTAGCTGGTGAAACATGATTCCTGGGAGTGTCTATGACAAAATATCAGAAGAATATTAATATTTGAATCAGCAGATCAAGTAAAAAGACCTGCCTTCTGCAATGTGACTGAGCATCATTCAATGAACTCAATTATACCACCGGCTTTCCTAGTTTCCTAGCTTATGGATGACAGAAGGTGGAACTTCTCTGCCTCCAAAATCAGTTAACTTTTATCATCAGTATTTTCCCACAGTCTCCTACTGCTTCCATTTCTCTAAATGATCCTGACTAAACACAATAGATGGTAGCTAAAGTTTGCATGGCAGAATGATTTAAGTAATAAGAGCTGGGAGGCTGACATATAAGGGTGATATAAAAGAAGGGAAAAATCTGGGGCTGGAGAGATAGCTCAGCAGTTAAGAGCACTGGCTGCTCTTGCAGAGGACCCAGGTTTGAATGCAGGCACTCACACAGTGGCTAACAACCATCCTTATCTCCAGTTCCAGGGGATCTGACACTCTTCTTCTGACCTCTGTGGGCATTGCATTACACGGGTGCACATACATACATACAGGCAGTACGCACTTATACATAAAAAAATAATAAAACATTTAAAAAGAAAGAAGAGAAAAATCAAATGCTGAATGAACTGTGTCGCTAAAATGAGCAATCATGAAAGGACACATTACTCTTTGCTAACAACTTCACTTAGAGCAATTCATTTGTGTACATGTGCATGCGTGCATGTGTGTAAGCCAGAGGGTAAAGTAAGATGTCTTCTTCACTTGCTCTCTACTTCACCTTTTGAGACAGCATCTCTCACTGAATCTGGCATTCACTGTCTCCATTCCCTCTGCTCTAGATTTATAGATACACATCCATACCCAGCTTTTTATATAGGTTCTAGGGATCTGAACTCAGGTCTTTATGCACAACAGGCACTCTGCCAACTGAATCATTTCCACGGTCATAGATATAAATTCCTTTTCATGCCCTCATAGATGAGCTGAGGCACATGGTGCTTGCCAGCTTGTGGGTACCTTCTTCAGTGATGCTCATGGAGATATCAGTGATGTCTTGTAGTCCAATCAAGAGGGCTGTTGGGGAACCCTGCTGTTAAGGTTGACTCCTTTTAGCAGGGGTCTCCTATTCTCTGCCTGACTTACCTGGAAAGTGCCCCCAAGCACAGATGCTTGGCCTCATTTGAAGCATGACCTTTGGCATAGTTACCTGCACTAAAGCTGCCCCCAGGTTTTTTCTATATGATAATTAGGCATTGCCCTATAGCCAGATGATAGGATGCCCCTACCACATGTAAATAAAGCATACTATGAGCACCTATCAGCTGAAGCTTTGGCTGCTGCCTCCACACTATATTTTCCCTAATCCCCACTGAATAAACAGAGCTGTATCACTGAATCTGGAGCTGTGTCACTGAATCTGACTCTCCGGAAAGTCTTTTCCGTTGTGCTCACTGGCTGTCCTGAACCCATTCGTCACTTCTGCTCCCTTTGTTCTCGTGGATCGGTGGCCAACGGCCCATGAGGGGATGGAGAGACCCACCACAGAGGGCCACAGAAAGAGTCCAAAGACAGACCTCAAGGTCATTATGCCTGGAATGTGGTACTGACTACATAGATTTTGGAATGTCTGTTCTTGGTTTAGTCCACGCCAGAGAACTGCTTGTTTCTACTCTCTTCCAAAGTCTACATTGTTCTGATCATACATCTCATTCCAAGGTAAGCCAAGCAGAGGCTCAGAAAGAGGAATGGCAGTAAAATCTCACCTCTGGGGCAGGGTGAGACATGATGACATTAACCAGCCCTAGCTTTCTCTGTGCAGAATGGGTGGGGAACATAAGGCTGTACTGACAATAGTACAAGGCAAAGAATCCAGTACCCTATCTGTGCCACTGGGGATTACATGACTGACAGCACAGTAGGTGAAAATGCAGCCATGGAACACTGACAACTCCTACTAGGACCACCCCTGATTTGTCTCTCTCATAAGGACCACAGATTGGCCTGAGCCTCCTCAGATCATTTATGATATCTCTCCCCAGCTTGGGATTCTTAACCTCATCATGCTTACAGAGAGTCCTGCTTATCTTCACTTCTAAGAGGTCCCTACTAGGCTGCTAAAAGTCTAAGTGCTGGAGCCTGGACGTTCCTTAGCTGCTGTGTACTTCTAACAGAGTTCTAGCAATCTTGAAAGAATACTTTCATGCAAAAGCAATGATGAAATGTCATGCCCACCTCCTGAATAATCTTAAATACTCAACTTTTTGCCTAAATGTATTTCTGCGACATTTAAAAGGTGACTTAGTACGTACTAACACCATTTCTAGAAAACAAAGAAGCCACTTGCTATGTTTGGTAAATGTCACAGCAACACATAACAATTATGGTCCTAAGTGTAGCAATAATCTATTTTCTGTGTTTAATACAGCACAGCAAATTCCAGCACCCACACTTGGCAGTTCCATTTTGAAACAAGCATGAAGGAGCAGAGGCCTAGTCAGAAGAAACAATCGCCCCCACAAGTATCCGAAGCTACCAAGAAGGAATGCATATAAAACTAACCATGTGACCAGGGAGGTAACTATCACCAGCCAGTGAACTTGGGAAATGCAAAGCCCACCCCAACTCTACCCTGAAAAGCCCTAGAACTGGTGTGATTCTCTCAGCAAAAAAAGTTGGTGTTGGTTTAGGCTATGTCTGCAGCAGGGCATCACATGCTCTACTTCCCTACTCTCGTTACAGTTTCCCCAAACCCAATAAGGCTGATTTCCAGGCCACAATGAAGTCTACAGTGACTGGCCCAAGTGTCATACTACTGAAAGGAAGTTCCTCACCCTGCCTGGCATGCTGCCCCTTTACCCCCAAGAAAAATAAGTCTACTTCATTTAGAACTAAAGAGTGTTTGTTGGCAGTTGTGCTCATTCATTAAAGGAGGGTCAAGCAGGGTCACTGGACCCTCACCTGAGTATCCATCCACTCTTCCCAGCCAACCAGTCCAGCCTTGGAAGACAAAAGAAAAATAAGGAGGAACCCAATAGAGGGATGCTTTTGGAACTTCTTGTCAAGAAACACCAATGGACTCTCATATGAACATTTGAAAATTGCCCTGTTCTGACTTTTTTCTAGTTCCCTGTCTAGAACTTGTAATGTTAATTACTCTTGCCTTTACTTCTCCTTCACATCTCCTATTCATGATTCGAGGACTTTCTTCTCCCCTTAGAGATAAAAGTTATGGAATTTGGGAGTCTTTTAGACAGACCCCGTGAAGGGTTACTCCAATTGTCTCACCCTGCATCCCTGTTCAGCATGGAAGAAGCCAGAGCGGTCTGCATCCCAATTCCCTATCGGCAGTTTGGGTAACTCCTTCAGAGGATGGTGTGATAAGAATAGGAGGTAGGAATTGGCTAGGCAGTTAGGGTAAAAAGACCCCAAAGAAAAGTAGCCAGTTTCTGGGCTAAAAGTCAAAATGTCCTTGGGCCTCTTACCAACATACTCTGTTCTAAAGGCTAAAAATGTCAAAAGTATTTGGGAGCTTGTATCTAATTCTTAAAAGATTTTAGGGTTACCTCTTCAGACGGGGGAATGTTGGAGGGGAGGGAGTAGGCATGGATTTGATCAAAACACCTTATACGCATGTATGAAATTCTCAATAAAGTTTTTGTAAATTTTTTTTAAAGTGTTTTCTTAAGCTATGCTTCAACCTGAGGCTGGCGGCACAGTCCTCTCAGCCTAGATCCTCAGTTGGTTGATGTGGAAAGATCACAAGTTCAAGGCCTGTCTGGGCTAGAGTGAGTTAAAAGCCAGCCTGGGCAACTTAGGGAGACCTTGTATCAAAATAAAAAGTAAAAAGACAGTTGGAATACAGCTAAGTGCTACATCCCTGCTTAGCATGCTTGAGGCACTGGGTTCCATTGCAAGCACAGCATATAGAAGCAAAATAAAATAAATCAAAAATAAAGCCATGTTCATGTTTTTCCGCAACATTTTTAAATGACTTGGTTTTCAGGCTCTTTCTAGAAGGCACAGTAAAGAGACTGTATCTAAAAAGAAGCCATGCAAGCCAGGAAAGTGTGCAAATATTGGAAATGGAGATCTTGAACACCTGAGGAGAAGGGCAGCATAATAAAATCGTGGAGCCAAAAATACTGCACTGTACAAGGATTTGGCCAGCATCCTGTGGTTAAGACTGGCTGGGGGCAGGGGTTCGTTAAGGGGAGGAAAGACAAGCCCAAGGCACAAACCCTGATACATGTCTGTTTGCAGAAGGAAGGTAACATACAATACAGGTCAACACAAACGATGTTACTTGCTTCGAAGAAGCGAATTGCTATCACATATTGACCTATCATTATTAAAATGCTTTTGATAATGGGATGTATCACTTTCTCCATCAACCTGCTGGATGGGAGCCATATGCATGAAATACAGAACAGCTGGCTTCTGCTGGTCTGGCTGATGGATGCTGTCTGTGGGTTGGAAGAGAGGAAGGGCAGGGAGGGAGTTCCAGAGTATGTAGTACAGTAGTTTCTCATGGATTCACATCTTCAGAACTTTTGATATTGAGAATTTTGCATTTTAAGATCACTTGAAAGTTCACCATGTGTATTAAGAAGACAAATAAATGAAGAACCTTTTAATTTCAATTTCCTCACACACTGCTTTCTGGTCAAGTGTGGGCAGTGAGACGCGGAAAGTATGTTCAGCTTTTTTCCATGGAGAAAGTAAGTGAGTAGAAGACCAGATTGTAAAAATGTGCTTCTTACCTCTTTCGGGCTTCTTCATATTGCCAGTTGAGTCTGACTCGGTCTACAAGTCTTGTTTTATCATCGAAGAGAAACTTTCCAGAACACAAGAGGAAAAAAAAAAAAGGAGAGAAGTGTTAAAAGCATGTTTTCAAAACAGAAAATTCATTTAACCTTTCAGCAACAAGGAAAAATATTCAGTTGAAAAATATTTCAAATTATTTTTCAGAAGCCTAAAAGGAACACTGGAACTAATACTCTGCGGCCACCTCTGGCTGATGAGGGTTGAGAGGCAGGTTGGGGAGATTCTGGTCCCTAAAACCAGTATTGCTTGTTTTTCAAACAGGGGAGATATACTCATGTATTTTATCATTGCAAATAACAACAATGAATTGACTTTTCAAATAAATAGAGAATTACTTACCTTGAGTTGACAGAAAGACAAGAACATTCACCCCCATTTTGTATTGTATATCCTCTAATTCCTCCATAAATACAAAATATAGGCAGCCCTGCCCCCATATTTCTGAGTTTCACAGCTGTGGATCCAACCAACCATGGATCAAAAACATTGTAGGCCCACAGTGGTTGCATCTGTCCTGAACATGGACAGACTTTTTTTCCTGCCATTGTTCCCTAAACAATAAGGTGTAACAACTATTTACATTGCATCAGGCATTGTAAGTCACTTAGAGATGATCCATATTAGACAAGAGGAAGTATGTGGTGTCTGTGCAAATATCATGCTATTTGACATAGGGACATAGCCATCTGTAGATTTTGGTATTTGACAATGGTACTGGAACAAATACAGATTGATGACATTAGATGTTCTACTCAGAAATCCCAAGATCTAGATAAGACAGACTAGTTTCCTGAGGAAGGGGCTAGAGGATACCTTCCAAGGTCACAAGGTATAAAACAAAAAGAAACAAAAATAAAAGAAAAGCACCAAGGTCTGGGAAAGCCTGGATTGGAGAGGATCTCCTAAGAGTTATACTTTGAATGCTCAGAATACTATCAGCAGTTATGCTTAAATAATTTCATGCCAATTATTAATGAAAGTAACAAAATCCTACCCCCAAAAATAGTTAAATCAAGGTAACAGCTGTAAGGCTGCCAACCCAGGGCCGACCCCAGTAAACTTCAGAGGCTTATAAAGCATGACAATTTACAGCTAGAATTGCAGGACCAGCCACAACACCCAACCTGACATTTTTAGAGCTTACTGAAATCATTAGAGAGCTTTGATCTTATCTGTTTCTCTCAAACTAATTAAGAGCTGTAAATTCTAAATCAACTCTATGATAAGCAGCAAGAAGTCATTCTGAGAACTCAGTGAGTCTTGTGTTTGCTTCCTTTCCTTACTCCAAACAGTTTAGACAAAGATTCCAAAGTGTTTTTTGCTCCCAGATTCTTCCATGTGCATTACAGGTGATAGCCACATTTTTTAATCAAAGAAGATGCCTTGTCAAAAATGTCTAAATACTGAGTTCAATACTGTATAACTGTATTAATTCAACTGTGAACCTAGAAACTTGCACCCACTTGTGAAAGAGATGTACTCTTGCTCTGGAGTGTGTTACTGAATATGTTAAAGCTGTAGTGAAATGCTTCTTCTAATCATGTAGTTATTACGAATTTTAAAAAATGATTAAAATAAAAAAATTACAAGTTAAAAAATGTCTAAATATTTTGGCAATAATGAGGGTAAAATTGAAAGTATGATTATTCCAAGATAACCAAGACATAAAAAGTCATAATTCATACTGTATTCCCCTCAGAAAGACACTATTTACCAAACAACTTTCAAAATACTACTAATTATTTAAAACCCAGAGTTTTCCACAAATTGTTTCTTCCTCTGCCTTAAGTTTTCCTTCCATTTAAATGGAAGACTATTATGTATTTCATTAATATTTTTATGTATATTTAGTAAGCCCTAAGGAAAAGAATTCTTCCAATCTCCTATTTGGTAGCAAATTAATTTCAAACTTCAGTTGATGACATTACCATAATGTGTATGTGATGATTAACTACCAGATTTCAAATGATGATTTACCCAATTTTGTTTTTGTGGTGAACTCAATGTTTGACTAATTATCACAAAGGGCATGCTGGAATTATTCCAAGTCACAAGGAAAATTTATTTTAATTGAATTCAATTTCCTGACATTCTTTTAGAAGAATAAAATTTGGTAACAAACTATAATCCAACATGGCAGTTGCAAAGCCTTTGGAAATCACTGGCCCTGTGAAGCCCAAAATATGTACTATCTGGTCCTTTGCAGAAAACATTTGCTAAGCCATGATCTAAAATGTCATAGGTCTTTCAAGAAAACATTTAAATTCAATGCTCAGGAGTCTGCCATTTAAAAAATCCTAATCACAAGGTAACATGCATCCTGTATGATTACAACATTACAACTGAAAGTGAAAAATATTTCTCCTTCAAACTTAATGGCACAAAAATGAAAATGTCCTTGAAGTAGACATTGAAAGTTATACCAAATGTGTAACAACACCGCCCAACCAATGACTCTCTCTGGGCACACTCTTGTCTCTGCCCTGGGTGAGCATACCTCCCCTATGGTGTCAGTCTGAGAGCCAGTATCGCAGAACTGCTGAGGGACGCCAGAGTCACCAAGTGCGCCTGTGCTGTGAGAGAAATCTTGCAAGGTGTCCGTAATGGAGCAGCTATTCTTGAAGCTGTCAGTAAGCTTGGCTAGGCTCTGAAAAAGAATAAGACAAGCTCTCTGAGTGGACACAACATGGTTCCATTCCCTTTAGAGGCAGCCATTTCCTTCCAGTTCGAGGTCTGCAGCCTATAACTAAAGAGACATGCCACTGTATTCTCCGTTCCCATCATATTTAAAAAACATGTTTTTCAATACACACACTTTTAAGAAGACTGTTAGTTATTAAATAAGAGAGAAACTGAATCCTTCTGACAACACACAATAAAATGGAGAACATTCATGGTATCACTTACACTGTTTTTTAAAGCCTTCATGTTTTGTAAGAAAAAAGAAGCATTTCTATCCAAAATGTCCAATAAATAAACGGATCTGACAAATATGCAGGCCACCTCAACATGCTTTATAGATAATCATCAGATGCAAACAGCTCCCGGACCATGCTTTGACAATCTCGTTTTCCAGCCATGATTCTATATGGCCCAAAGTAATCTCATGTAAATGTTAGAAATCTCATGTGAATGCTACTTTGCCAAAAATTACAGTAAGTATGCATTCTGACATAGGGAACCTGTTTGCGTGTAAGTTCAAGAGAAATATGACTGTTTACAATTTCTTTAGACTTTGGGACCTACTCACTTTTGACCTAGTCACCTATTCACTGTTTGTGTGTAAGTTCAAAAGAAATATGACTGTTTATAATTTTGCTAGATTTGGGGACCTATTCACTTTTAACACTGATGAAGACACCAGAACCAGAATTTAGGTACTTGGCTCAAAATCGAGACAAAGTACACTGTGGTCTCTTGTTCTCTGCACAACTCCTATACAAGCTCAAATTAGACAAAATCCCAGCACAGACATGGGGAAGTAGTTACGAAATCCCAACCCAATCTAAGGAACTTTTGGCAATTGATGACTGCTGGGAGGGGGAAAGACAGTGTCTTACGGGGATGGGACTCTTTTTTTTTTAATTTATACAAAAACTTTATTGAGAATTTCATACATGTATATAAGGTGTTTTGATCAAATCCTTGCCCACTCCCTCCCCGCCAACATTCCCCCCTCTGAAGAGGTAACCCTAAAAATCTTTTAAGGATTAGATACAAGCTCCCAAATACTTTTGACATTTTTGGCCTTTGGAACAGAGTATGTTGCTAAGAGGCCCAAGGACATTTTGACTTTTAGCCCAGAAACTGGCTACATTTCTTTGGGGTCTTTTTACCCTAATTGCTTGGCCAATTCCTACCTCCCACTCTTATCACAGAATCCTCTGAAGAGGTTACCCAAATTGCTATAGGGATGCAGACGGCTCTGGCTTCTTCCATGCTGAACAGGGACGCAGGGTGAGGCAATTGGAGTAACCCTTCAGTGGGTCTGTCTAAAAGACTCCCAAATTGCATAACTCTTGTCTCTAAGGGGAGAAGAAAGTCCTTGAATCATGAATATGAGATGTGAAAGAGAAGTAAAGGCAAGAGTAATTAGCATTACAAGGAACTAGAAAAAAATCAGAACAGGGCAATTTTCAAATGTTCATATGAGAGTCCATTGGAGTCACTTGACAATGGCTTCCAAAAGCAAGGGATAGGACTCTTGATAGGCCCAGTGGATGGACCCACACTGTGGGGCATTTGGGGGCAAAAATAGGATTCAATAGGCCATATTATATATGTATATATGGTATATGTATATATTATACATATATAAATAGATATATGTATATATTACACATCTATCTATCTATCTATCTATCTATCTATCTATCTATCTATCTGAGAGAGTCTGGGCAGGAAGTTGTTGAGGGAGGTGTGAAAGGGGAGGAAATCTAAGTACCAACAAACTATATTGTGTGAAAATCACAAAAATTCTGTGAAAAAAAGTAAATTAAGGAAGAAAGACACAAATGCTTCTTGGAAGGAGCAAGTCATCTTAAGTTTATAAAAGATGGAAGAAGACTTTACCCATGCCTCTCTCTGAGACTTTATCTGGGTTGAAGGGGCTGTGGAAACCCCAAAGTTACCAAGGCCTAAAGTTTCTACAGAATTTTTCTTTCTTGCTTATATAATAGAGACTCCATATGAGAGATTTCAGTGTCTGTCCTAGTTCTTCACTGCTGTGACAAAACACTGTGACCACTACCAACTTGGGGAGGAAAGGGTTTATTTATCTTACATCTCCCAGGTCACAGTTCATCAGGGAGCCCAAGGTAGGAGGAACTCAGGGCAGGAACCTGGAGGCAGGAGCTGGAGCACAGGCCATGGAGGAATGCTGCTTACTGGCTTGCTCCCCTGGCCCCTGTTCAACCTGCTTTCTTATTCAACCAGGCCCACCTGCCCAGGGGTGGCACCACCCACAATGCACACCACCCACATCACACAACAATCAAGAAGATGCCTCACAGACATGGCCACAGGCCAGTGCGATGAAGGAAATTCCCCAATTGAGGGTCCCTCAACCCAGATGTGTCAAGTTGACATTAAAGCTATCCAGCACAGTGTTGTCTCTCATTACCGAAAACTGTGAATTCAGAGAGACCAGGGTGGAGAGTTCCACCTGGTCTCATGGAGCAAATTCTCTGTGTTTCTGTCATGAAACACACTCACCTTTCATTGTCTGTAGAGTGCACGGATAAAGGACATTGGGTATCTAATTCCAGTGCTACACACTGAGACTTCAATGAATGGTAATTGTCCTTGATGCCCTTGTTATGTAAAAAAAAAAAGTCTAACCATAAATTGTTAGTCCATTTTCACCTGGAGAAAGTTCATTTGAAAATACAGGTTTCTGAAGGCGTGGTGGCACATGGCTTTAATCCCAGCACTCAGGAGGCAGAGGCAGGCAGATCTCTGTGAGTTCAAGACCAACCAGGGTCTACATAGCAAGTTCCAGGTCAGCTGGGGGTACAGGGAGACCCTCAAAAAACCCAAAACCCCAAAAAACAAAGCAAAACAAAGAAGGAAGGAAGGAAGGAAGGAAGGAAGGAGGGAGGGAGGGAGGGAGGGAAAATAAAGAGAAAGAGAGAGAGAGAGAAAGAAAGAAAGAAAGAAAGAAAGAAAGAAAGAAAGAAAGAAAGAAAGAAAGGGAAAAGATTGATTACTGGGCACCATCTCCAGAAATTCAAATTTAGTGGATGGAAACAGGGTGGAGCCTAGGAACTTCATTTTAAAGAGCTTCACAGGAACTCTGTGTGAGTTGTTAATGACCCTAACTTTAGGAAGCATCTCCATGTCAGATAGCTATATGGAATCTCTTCATTTTTGTCTGTAAATCTGACCTTTGTTTTAGAAGTTCTTTGAGTCTTACATTCTACAGACTCTATGCAAATGTCTACCAAGGGTTCCCTTAGTGTGTCAGATAAAAAATAAAAGCTGTAACAGAAAGCAATAAATGCATTCCAACACCAAGGTTACAAACCTCAATAAATGTAAATCAATATACACCAGTAATGATCCCAGCTATGGAAGTCAAATATATGCACATAGTTCAGTACTATGCAACCACATAAAGGAAGAAAGAAGCTCTTTGGGAACAGATATGGGATGCCACCTCATCACATAGGAAGCTACAGCAGAACAGGAGTCTAGAACCACAACCTAGCCCTGTCTCTGTTTGCAGGCCTTTTGGGTATGTATTCACATTATTTTTAGCACCACATGAATGCTGGAAAGTTACTGCAGAAGAGAATAAAAGCAGCTACACAAAACAGGAAGAAAAAAACAATACCAAGGCTCTTTGCTGTGGAACTTTTATTTTGAGTACTGATATCAGTTTATCACTCACTGCTGGGGGTTTGGGGTTAAGTTTTAAGTCCTGATCCCTAGAACCTCTGAGCATGGCCTTATTTGGAAACAGGGTCTTTCCTGGTTTGGTTCCTGTTGCAGTGATAAAATATTCTGACCAAAAACAACTTGGGAAATAAAGGATTTATTTAGCTTACACATCCAGGTAGTAGTTCATCCCTGAGGGAAGTCAAGGCAAGGACTCAAAGCAGGAATACAGAGGTAGGAACTGAAGCAGAACCTATGGAAGAATGCTGCTAACTGGCTTGCTTCCCCATTGCACGTTCAGCTCCCCTTCTTATACATCCCAGACATATATGCCCAGGGATGGTACCACCCACAGTGGTCTGGGTCTTCTCACATCAATGAGCAATTAAGAAAATGCCCCATAACTTGCCCACAGGCCAATTGATGGAAGCAGTTCCTCAACTGAGATTCCCTCTACCCAGGCATGTTCAGGCTGTGCCACATTGACAAAAATTAGCTATGACAAGGTCTTTCCAGATGTAATGTAGACTGAGGTCATACTGAATGGCTAGGCACTAACACAATGAGTGGTGTCCTGATTGGAAGAGGAAATCTGGTCACAGAGACACAGGAAGACCACATAACAATGGAAGAAGAGACTAGAATGAAGCACCTACAAGTCAAAAGCTAGGAATACCTGTCGCCACAGAAGCTAAGACAAAGCGAGAAAAGAACCCAACCCACCCTACCCCAAGAACCTTCCAAAAGCACAGTCATTCCAGCACTTTGACTTTGGACTTGTGGCCTCCAGAATACAGAATAAAAGGCAGATAGTTGGGCAGGCAGGGTTTTTAGGAGGCAGCCTTGGCTTTACCTGCATCAGATCCCGCCTCTCCTTCTCGCCCGTACAAATGGCTTTCTTAATGGTACGCAGTTCATTCATTATAGCCTGGGCTTCATCCAGTTTGTAGCTGGTATGTGCACTTGACATTTTCCGATCAATTCTGTTTAAAAATAGTAAATTAGAGTCACTCCACATGAGATCATAATATTCCTTTCAACAACAGCAATGAAAACCCAAAAGCATCATAAAAAGGTGGGAAACAATTAAAAGCAGAGTTTGGGTATAGACCAGTAAAGAGCTTATGAAATATTCCTTCTGTGTGGCAAACACCTTAGACCCAGCTTATACATGTCTACCTTTGCTCCAGGATTACCTTTGCTCCTATCTCCCAATAAGCACCAGGCAACATGCCACAGGTTTGAGTAACAAATGAGAACACACACTTCCCTCTCTAAGAGAACAACCAAGGGTCTTTCATTTCTCAGCATTATCCAGGTGAGTATCCAAGTATGTTTAAATAAACCCAAGGGTAAGATCTATGTGCAAAGAGGGTGTATGAGAAACAGCAAGAAGTAATGATTTTCAGTAATGGTACCGCCTATAAAAGTTAGAGACTTTCTTGGAGTGGTGGGGATTGAACCTAGGGCTCTGTACACACTAGACAGGCATTCTTCCACTGAGCTATATCCCTAGCCCTCAAAAGTTGGAAACGCATGTCTTCTCTATTCATTTCATTCTAGTCATCATTCTCTCTGCTATCCTTCAGTCCAAACAAATATCCATTAAAACTAACTTTCTTCTCTTCCTTCTTTCCCTCCCTCTCTCTTCCTTCTATCTATCCATCCACCTGGCAAACCTGTGTGCATACAGGCCTGCTTGGGGTGGTAGATGCATAACACAGAACAGGACCAGACTTGGCTCCACCTTCCAATAGCAGGCAGCCTCCAGAGCACATCGTCTGTCACGTCTCCCATACCTAAATCTCAAGCCTGGGAAGCCCTCAGGGCTAAGGAGCTTGGGAAACTGGTCCAGACATGGAGTGAATTCCTTCCCTGGAAAGCAGCTAGCTTGCTTTTCAGGTTCCAGGCCCACCATTACACAGGTACTGATCCTAATATTTTTCCCACAGATTATCTCAAAGATCTGGATTGTTAGCTGCCGGCCCAAACTGCCTTGTTTTCCACTATACAAACCTGGCAAGCTATAAGCACCATGCCAGCTGCCACTCGCCAGTGGTGGAGCCCTAGGTAAGTCACTTCAAATCTTTTGGTCTATTTCCTCGTGTCTCAAATGGGAATACTAACAATACTACTCCTATAGGAAACGCATTAAGGAAAGGGTTCACCTGGTAGGAAGCCTAGAATCTAATGTTTGTGATAATTATTATTATCAGGATTAATACTACTACTTACACATTGGAGAAAAGGTACGTAATTTGCCAACTCTATTATCTCATATCGTTAATAAATTCCTTGTCATATGTGTCACAATTCATAGCAAAACTCAGCACAAGAGTTGATGTGACGTATTGGCATCCTTGGAACAGGAGAAGGGCAAACACAACAGTAATAAACTGAGGTCTGTATGGAACTGGGCAATAGAGCCAGTCAGCATTGCTGTGACAGCCCTCAGCTACCATGAAACATTTATGAATACAAACCTTAAGTCCCTCAGAGAGCAGGCACACTATGAAAACCCCATATATTGCATACTGACACCCCTAAATCCAAGTACAGTCTGATTCCATGGACACTTCTACAACAGATCAGTTACACGTCTATTAAATTTCTCAAATGTACATTGCCCCATCTGCTTCTAAAAAGCAAAAATCTTTAGTTATACACTATATATATACACTATCTATCTATCTATCTATCTATCTATCTATATATATATAGTATCCCATGCCCAATGTTCAAGTACTTGAGCATGAACTAAAGTTTGAGCAGTGGGTATTGTTTTCTTTGCTCTATGCTCTCAGTAGACCCCTGCTCTGACTTCTTTACAACAGCTCATCTAAATAACTGTGATGACTAAATTTAACTCTCTAGCACTTTGATGGCTGACGTGAAATTTATCAATAAAGTATAGGAAGATCTGCCAAGTGTGGAATATAGGCTAGGAAACTGGGGAGGTCACATATTTGAGGATAGCTTGGGCTACATAGCAAGACACTGGCTTAAAATAAAATAAAACAAAATTCTCTCCCTCTCTCTGTCTCCCCCTCCCTCTCTCCATCCCTCCCCTCCCCTATCTGTGACTGTGTATTCCCAGCACAATAGCAACTGGCCATTTGGTGCCTATTAAAACATAAGAGTCAATAGCAAAAGTGGCAGCATTAGACCCCCTCTACATTTTAAAAACTCCTTTGCCCTCAAAAGCAACCCCACTTCCACTAAAATGGCTGGCTCTCTCACTCACTATTGGTATCCTGACCTATAAGTTGAGTGTCATAGAGTTCCACTCTATACTTTATTACCTATCATAGCTTCACAAAAAAATCAATCTCATATACTGACATTTTCCACAGATGGCGCTGTTATGCTAAATGGTGCCATAAAAAAGGAGCCTGGGAAGAGAATGGAAAATCAGCAGAACAAATACCAACTCCTGGTCCCTGCTCTCCCTGAATACCTATAGAGAGAATACCTATAGAAAGAACTGAGACATTTGTTGATCCAACAAGCAGCTCCCAGAACCATGAGATTGGAGGAAACCACTTTTACACTAATTATTATTCACTGACAGACATTATATAATAGATACTAATAAACTGAAATCCAGAGTCTCTGTACTTCTAAAGATCTAGGGACTTGACAGTAAAAAAAAAAAAAAAAAAAACTGTGATACTGAATCCTTTGGCATAAAATTATTGAAGGAAAGGCAATACCTCCAAATATTGATGAGTTTTTTAAGCCCATGTCCACTTCAGGCATAGACTGGCAGTAAGGTCATCTATGGAAAGCTGTTCACCTGGGGTTGGCGTAGATCTCAGGGCTAGAGCATATGCTTAAAATATGTAAAGGCCTGGGTCCAATGCCTAGTGCCCATAAAAAAAGGTGTCGCTTGAGTAGTGGTCATCTCAATATCAAGACCCACAATGCAGGGAAAAAAAGCAGGAGAAGCCCATGTGTGTCTCCTGGAAGAGCCAAGAGTCTACAACACAAACCAAGGCCCATATATTTTAAGCCACTGACTGCCAAAGAAGTCACCAAACAGTTTTTTGCAGGGATGATCTAAGCTTATTTAAATGTCTTATATTAATCTTCTGATGAAAGGCTTTCCCATACATTGTTGTCACTGTCATAAACCAAAACTGCTATAGTTTGATGAAGTCTGTAAAAAGGGGGAAATCATCTCTGGACAAAGCCCAGAAGCCAGACAAATCTGATGCTCTCTAGCTGGCAATAGCCTGTGCCACCCACCAGGCCTATCTGCTCTTCCAGAATAAGAAATGGAGTAGCACCTGCCACTAACCCTCACAGAAAGAAGGGAAAAGTGACTGTACTGATTACGATGTTTGGTCCAAGTGCCTGAGAGTGGGTGTCAATAAAGTATTCATAGCCATATACACATGTACCATGGTGAAGACTGCAATCCCATGCCTGCTCCTGTTTCAGGCTTGAATGTGGTGGACCTCGGCTCTGGCCTGCAGCTCTACATAAGTAGCTGCAAGACACCAGAACAGAATAAAGATCAGGGGACTCGGAAGAGGGTTCAGAGGGTAAAGACACTTGCAGTGCAAGCCTGATCACCTGTGCTTTATCCCCTGAACCTCCACGAAAAGCCAAATGCAGTAACAAGATACAGACAGGAAAATCAGCTGAAAGCCCATGGGTCAGCTAGCCTTGAGTATGCCACACCCCAGAAACAATGAGAGAGCCCGTCTCAAGGTAAAAGGCAAGAACCCAACTCCCAACTTGACTTGCATACATACACTGTGATACATACACACCTGCACTCACACATCATGCATCACACATGGAGCGGGGGGAGGGAATTAGACCAGGGTGCTTCTTAGGCCCTGTTCCCTGTTCCTGGGGAGCCCTGGAACAGCAAGCATCAGGAGTAGAGCATGGAACTCAAGTAGGCATAGGACTATGCCCTGTCTCCACAGCTTTCCCATTCTGTACAAGGTGTTTGCCCGGAAGAAAAGGAGAAAAGAGTGTGCTCCAAAAAGTGTGAAAGCCATTAAATAACACAATCCCAAAACTAAGAGCCTCTGGAAAAACCATTACTAAACAATAGTTGCATATTATTACAAAATGCAATACTATATAAATTATGGTATTTGATCATCACATATAAATGTTCTGATATAAACAGTATCTGAAAATACTTCAGCATATCAAGCACCTAGGAGATGAAAGGATCATACTGCATGGTGTACACTGGGCAATCATTTAAGCCCTCGACAGCCTTCTGAGATAAGCATAACCCTCTTGGACTTCATAATGAGGAACTTGAAGTTCAGAGCAATTAACTAAGTGTCCAGATGACAAGTTAGTATGTGGCAGAGCAGGGATTCAACACCCCCTACACACACCCTATCTCTGAAGCCTGCACAGGATCACAGGATGAGGTGATGCCCCTCCCTTCACAATATGTCATCTATCATCTCCTAGGAGTAGTCAAGGTAGGACCAGATGGATTTTTACAAGGAGAAGTAATATATCATAGAACTTAAATTGCTTTCATTTTTCAATCACGATGAACTGTTATATAAGAAAAGCTTCAAAGGGAAGGAGACTTCTTTTCAACTTACGCAAAATTTCGTACCTAAGAGTTCCTTCTCATTTTAAAAATTCATTGTCGCCTGGCATGATGGTGCACAACTTTAAACCTAGCATGTAGGAGGCAGAGGCAGGCATATCTCTGTGAGTTTGAGGCCAGCCTGGTCTACATAGAGCGTTCCAGGCCAGCTGGAGCTACAGGGAGACCCTGTCTGAAATAGACCCCCAAAAATTTGTTGTCAACTCTCACAGTTCATACTCATAGCCCTACCACTCTGGAACCTAAGGCAGGAGGATCACCTTAAGTTCAAGGCTGGGCTACACATAGTTTTAGGCCACCCTGAGATACAGAGTGAGATCCTCTCTCAGAAACAAAGATCCATAGAACTCTGGTGAAATTCAGAAGACCACTCCATTGTTTTAGATT